GAGCGGCATGTACACAATCAACGGACCGGCATCGTCACATGGCTGCATGACAGAGTCACATTGCACGGGAGGTGGAAGTCTTCGTGGCCTCTCGTCAACTGCTCGTCTTCCCCAATGGGCTATGCGGGCCAGCTGTGGGGCGAAGTCAAAGCAGCCACTCGAAACCACTCGGATTCCGGCAGGATCCCCAGCAGCAGCAAGAGGTCTTAAGGGTAGCAGCGAGTCGTCAGAATCAGATTGGGCCCCGCCGTCTATTGAAATGTCCAAATAGGGTGGTCGTTGTAGGGGTGGTAATGGATTGGTGGGAACTCGTAGTGGTGGTTCAAGTCGTGGTCTTTTGTCACCGATCTCGTTGGTGTCTTCGTCCACGTCACCACGCTTACGTATGATTCTAGCAACATGAACAGTGTTCATATCTGAGGTATCATCGTCAGACAGAATCTCGAGACTTACACCGTCGATAGAATCACGGTATTTAACCAAATCGCTGTAGAGGTCACACTTTGTGCCGGCATCAGCAGGGTTCTCGGCAGAGGCCACATAGTGAATTTCAAACTGGCGTCTTCCCATAAGGTAATGAATAAGGTCGATAGCTCGTTGAAGTAGAGTAGATTGCTTACCAGAAGTGCAGACCTTACCAGAGGCTAGGGCAGCATTAGCTGTACGATTATCGCCGTAGAGGATGATCTTCGAGAACTTCTTATTGGTATCGAGCTCGAAGGAGACAAGAGTAGAGAGAGCATTGTAGGCAGTAGTGAGTTCCTTCACGTTAATGTGCAAGGCTCGCTCTTGAGTGGACCATTTCCACTGCTTTTTGAATACCACTTGGTTGTCCTGCATGGCCACCATCGCTCCTAAGAGTTCGGAGGAGTCGAACCAGACATGAATAGGTGCATCTGGAATCCAGATGCAGATCCAGATTCTGGATTGATGTACCGGTGCGTCGGAGTTGGAGGGTTGGCCTTCAACAGTTGTTGCCATCTTCTGAGCAAGTCCATAGCCTTATCGTCCACATCGTCAGTCCATTTGTGGTCGTTCACAGCTCTTAATCTTGAAACTAGTGCAGTCAGGCAGTTCTTGATGATGAGAATGTGCCACGGTAATAGGTCCCAAGCCTGCCATAAAATATTGAGGAGTGATAGAGCTTTTTTATATGAGACTGTGCAGGAGATGTCGAAGTCGACGGCATCTTTATACTTGTAGGTAGGCAGTAGAAGAGAGTTACCATTATCGCAAAGCTCATGTCCGAGGACTAGTAAACCATTAGCATCAGGTCCGTTGAGGTCTTCGGTGGTTAGATACATACCGTAGCTTGCTAAGTGGGCCTTCACTTTTTCAATGTCTTCAGGCTGGCCACCAAGGTATAGGAAGTCGTCCATGTAGCTCACAAGTAGTCCAGGGCAAGTATCGAGTCGTTCTAGTTCCCCGATGGCATGCGCAATGATGATCTCGAGGACTTGAGGATTAGTAGAATTACCATCACTCATGTAGGTGTAGGTCCAGTTTTTTCCCTTGTAGTTGATCTGACTGAGGAGTTGGACATTTGAACCGAGCTTGATGGATCTATAGGCATCCTTGATATCCATAGAATGAGCAGTAGCAGATGACCTGTACTTGTTGATGATGCGAGGTATCTTGGATTGGCAGTCATTGATTGGGAACTTCTTGTCCGCCTTTTTGAGCAAGTCATTAGTCCCTATTGTAGGCTGTATAGGTCTAGCCCGCTTGCGACCAGCACGCGGATAC